TTTTTTAGCGTGCGCAGTGAAATAGCTCACGTTTTAATACACGCAAACCTTTGATAGATCCGGCCCTAACTGTGTGTGTTGAACCATAGTACATTTTTTATGGTGACCTGGATGAATATCTGCTTGCACATGTCCAAATGAGATGATGGTATGGATTGTACTTCCACTATGGATTGGGTATTGAAAGTCGGCCGCATAATGAGGAGTCTTCCAATCCAAACAGGCCTCAGCGCCGAGCTATGACATAATCGGCCAACGAATCAAGCTTTCGGCTGATGCAGCCCCTGAATCTGACCTCAGCAAAAGCTTTGATTGTTTTCGTGGTTGGACCCATTTAACATGGAAGCATTTGACATCACATCCACAGAACGGTGTGTGAAACTCTGACCCAATGTGCAATAGGCTACAGACCTTTAGATGGGTCACTCCTTCTGGGGTGTCAATGTTCCTTAGCAGACAATGTTTTGGTTGCAAAGAGTCAAATAAAAATGCTATTTTAAAGCTATTTTTTTCAGTAAAAATAAAAAATAATGTCTCTTTAAACGTAAATCTGCCTAGCAACAATTTTTTTTAATATTAGTCATATAGCTACAACTTGAGCTCTAGTGATTGTGGAAAACAATTATATTGAGCCAATAAGCTTTGGGAAACTTTGATGAAGTTAATCAGTATTTTTTAGATTTAAACAAATGCATGTTATCTGGTATAAAAAAAAAGAAACAGTGTGATTGTATAAATTTTAATTTGAAACAACTCCATAGAACCTTAAAAGTATTACATTTTCAGAGAAATTTAGTCATGCAAGCTAATATTTTGTCACACCACTTCACAATTTGTTAAAAATAACCTTTATATGATACCCAAAGACACACTTGTAATGTAATACAGACATAAAAGGGGATTACAATATAAAAACATTAACATTCAAAACCTCTTCTTATGAATATAAGTAAAATGAATTAACTAAATACCTTTAAACCAATACACTAAAAGAAAAAATATACCTAACCAAACCTGCAAATTAAAAAATTAGTCAATGTAAAACCCTCAGTTAAAATAACATTTTTTCCTGATTTCTTTCTTAGTTTTATTTCTTCATGTAAAGTAATTATCGGTTGTATTTTGTCAACGCATTCTTATTTATTTTTTTATGAGCCAGACACACATGCGTGTGCAGCATCAATTATTTTTTTTTTTGTAGGAATTATTTTTAAATTTTTCGAAAGCATCTTGGTCATCCTTCAGATCTTTATCCGTCCTCTTGGTGTAGATTCTATGAAGCTTCTCTTCAAATCTCTCTGGAAGAAGACGAGATACCTGAAAGGGAGGTAAGTAGAACTAGTTTTTACCGAACCAACAAATTGAATATACTTGTGATAACTTTTTGACTCAGAACAAAACATGGTTAGTAACAGAAATGGGCAAAATAGTCAAAAATGCAATTTCTTGACCTGAAATCTCACCTCAGCTCTGGTTATAGCCCTTGCTTGTTGTGGGTTTCTTTTGTTGTAGAACCTCACGTCTCCTATGGGGTCATTAGCCCTTTTCCCATAGTTAAATGTAACATCCTAAATACCAAATAAAGGTTTAAATATAAGAACTCAAAGGAAATTCTTATGTTTTCAGATGTTAACTGAATTTTCCTGTTTACAATGAAACTCACATGCACAATATAGTAATTCGGGTCAAGTCGACGGAATGCGTTCCAATTTGCCTTAACAGAAATTGTGTACAATCTGTGTGATATGTTACAACTTCCAAATGGTACTTATATATGAGGTCAAACATTAATTCATAGAGTGCAGTTAATTGACATGATGCTACATTTGCACTCAAACAAGCATACCTCGATAACTTGCTGGGAGCGTCTTGAGGGAAATTCCCCCAGACAATAGTAGAGGTCTCTCCTCACTATCCTTTTCAATATATCCCTTGCCTCTCGAAGTGTTTGGGAGGTGGAGTTCAGTATCTGATCAAATATGGTATCTACAAGTCAAAGAGAAACACAAAATGGTGTCAATGGTTTTGTGAGAAATTCAGGAATGTATTTTAAAGAGTAGTTTTTAGTCTGGCACATGCAGTTGAAATGAGGGACACACACATCTTTTCTTGTCTAAGCCGCAAAATATTCTTTGCTCAGCTCAGTACTATTTTTCAGAGTCAGAGTAATCTGAAAAAATACCTGGTTATCTTTTGTATTTGTTTTTTTTATCTGTACACATGGACATCCATGCTGCTCTACAATTTGATCAAATTAATTGGCCATTGATATTTAAGTTTGACTGTCACATTAGCAGAAAGTTACATTTTTTGTCCTTTTCATCTACGGTTACACTTTGCATATTTAAATCAGGTCAGGCTTTGTTATCTGTTTCCCTTTTACTATGCTCTCCTCTTTATTCAAATGGGAGCTACAATAATCATGTGAACAATTATTATAACTAACCTAATATCTATCAGTATATTCATTCTGTTAATTGGATTTTATACAATTAAAAAACAATCTATGTTTAAGTTGGTTATTATAATGAACATTCAATCAAACTATTGTTACAGTGTTGTAAATGTCAACTTACCTGTCAGCTTAGTGTAGGCCCCCATGTCTTCTATAGCTGTGGACAGGGTCTTACCTCCAAAGCTGAGGTGCTTATCTGCTTTGAGGAAAGCATCGTTTATCCTGATGGAGCAAAACAACTTTTAATTGTGTAACAGTGTTTTGAAATGTAGGGTAATAAAACACAAACTCCAACCCAGAAGACCAAGCAATGTCAGGGGTTTCTTACATCCGCTCTATGGCACAATTCACTTTGTGCTGGTAGGCTCTTTTGTGTAGAGAGAACCTTGTGTAGAACATGTCATACAGATTGAACACGTCCTGTTAACGATAATCACAATGTATTGTAAATCTGAGTTTGAATATTGATAGGAAGGAAAAATCTCAACTAAACCACACCTTGCCACTCTCCAGCCACCTCACACGCCCTAGCAGATTTAATCAAACGCTCATGGTCAAAGCTATTCTTCATACCCAGGTAATGGCAGTCTCTGTCATATGGAAAAAGGAAACAAATGTTTGGAAATATGTGTTTATATTTAAGACAAGACACATTTAGAGTGTGGAATCATATAAAAAAATCCCCACCTGACAAAATAATCCCACTTATCTACATCAATCTTGTTCCTTTTGTTGGACACAATTTCGTAGAGGATGTAGCGCTTTTCTGAAGGATTTGAGGGTGGCCTCTATAGAAGAACAACAGAATTGTAAACAATTATTGCCAGGTGTTTCGTCAAACTCACTTACAGACATATACAGAAGAAGATGAATATATTCAGATTAGGGCTGCAACTAAAGATTATTTTGCAAATTAATTTATCTGACGATTATTTTTTAGATTAATAATCGGAAAGTTAGAGGTTCCATAAAGAAGATTTTTTCTGAATTAAACCAGGTTAAAAAAAGGGCTGTATGCAGGGCCCAAAAAATACTGAGGTCAATAGTCAGAACTTCTAGGCTGGTTCGGCAGCGTGCTCCCTAGAGAGGTTTTTAATTCCATTAATTAAAGGGGAACGCCATTTTTTTTTTACATTGGACCCTTGATTTTACGTTATTACATCATGTTCTACTCACCCATATAAGTTTTGTGTCATTTGGAGCTATTCTGAAGACATAACCGTCAGGTTATATCCAAGTAACGTCTTCCTATGGGCAATGACTTAGGGAAAAACTAAACTGTTCATAATTTATCATTTATGGTACACCAGCATTCAGAACATGTAGGCAAATCACTGTCTCCCAGACATCCACGGTTATATTTTTATATTTATATTTTTTTAAACTAAGCAAACTGTGTATGACGTCATCCGCGCGCCGGACTGGAGTTGTGACAGGCAGCCCGGGCCACAGTTGGCTATGCTCTACCCCTTATATTCATTCGGTGAGCTAATCTGAATTGTTCAATTCCATTTCGAGAGCGAGATCATCTGTGGTATTAGCACTAGACATCTTCTAGGCATTTGAGTAAAACTAGCAGCAGTTCAGCAGACAGGATGAATGAAGGGTAGCCGGCGTGCGCGGATGACGTCATACACACGACAGTGATTCGCCTATATGTTATAAATGCTGGCGTACCATAACGAATAAATTATGAACAGTTTAGTTTGTGTCTTCAAGTCGTTTGCCCATAGTAAGACGTTACTTGGATATAACCTAATGGCCATTTTCAGAATCTTAAGGAGGAAAAACATGATTCTGATTAATTGTTTCGGCCCTGGTTCTAATGCTGCACTGGTTTTATATGGACCAGTCCATCACTTCTAAACAAACTCCCTGTCAAATTTCCTTAATTTTCTATAATATTGATTATACATTTTTCTACCATTGCTTCCATAACATTCAAGGATTGTGGTGATGTTTAGTACTGTATCAATGTTGATTATATATGCTTGTAGAACAACAATAACAAAGTCATTCTAAAATGTTTATCAAAGCAAACAAGAAAGAAAAGAACTACTTTTTTTACCTACATATTCTCTTTTTTACTTTATTATCTACCTGTTTATTTAAGCAAACATTTATTGACAATAGTTTTTGCATTTTTCCCTTTAAAGGGATAGTTTGGTATTTTTGACATGAATCTGTATGGCATCCCCATCACCAGTGGCATGCAATCACACTGACTTACCCCTGACAGCGTCCTGTGAGCAGAGTTATCGTCCAGTTTTGGTCAAGCCGAAAGTAGTCCGGCAGGTTTTTAGGAACAGCGAAATAAAACTTTTCTCTTCCCAAAACATTATGTGTTCAAAAGAGTGATATTTTTGCATCCCAAAAACATTGTAGTGGAAAAAGTCACACGTCGTTATCAATTGGTCCTATTTTCTCTCTGTTCGTATCAGTGCGCGCCGTCATTCAGACAGCGAGCTCAACAACAGCCATGTCTCCCTCCGCCCAGCTAGGCGGAGGGAGACATGATGCAAAAATATCACTCTTTTGAACACATAATGTTTTGGGAAGAGAAAAGTTTTATTTCGCTGTTCCTAAAAACCTGCCGGACTACTTTCGGCTTGACCAAAACTGGACGATAACTCTGCTCACAGGACGCTGCCAGGGGTAAGTCAGTGTGATTGCATGCCACTGGTGATGGGGATGCCATACAGATTCATGTCAAAAATACCGAACTATCCCTTTAATAGTATAGAGGTAGCTGAGAGGGTTTGAGACAGGCGCATTTGTCCCCAGGAGCAAAAAATATACTATGGTGAGAAAAAAAAAAACAAGTTTGATTTTGAAATTTCGACCTGACGTGCTTTTATTCTGAAAGCGCAATGCAGCTGGCCCCGCCCCCTTCCTCACCTGCTTTGATTGGGGCAGACACTGTAGGATGAACTATCAGCTGAATTCTACATTCAGAGACCTTCGAATGAGGTAAACAACTATTTAAAACATCTTGTTGTTAGTTTACATTTAAATTTAGAACATATATTTCAAGCTCATCTTAATCCTAGGATGGACACCTTTCCACTATTAAGCTGCGTCATACACGCGCCGCTTTGTTTTTAAAAGTCATGTCAACCAAGCAACACATTTATTTCATCTGATTTTTAGTGAAATACCGCCACTATGGGACCTTTAAACAAAACCAGCACTCTGTCTTCTTGAAAAGAGCAATGCCAGTGTTTGTATTGTTTAAAAATCATATTCAGCTATTTTAGACGGAAATAGATATTTTAAAGATGGAAAGACTGAAGAAGCTGGAGGGAGATCTGAAATGATTAGTGATAAAAATATAACTTCTTGAGCTTTTAAAATTGAAACCCACACCCTGTTACACTATATTATCTTAATGATGGTACCTTATATAACATATTTCTATCATTATCTTACACAATGCTTCAGTTATCCCGCATTATAAATCCAACTTTTGAAACAGTTCAGGTATAGGTTCTTCATTTTCTAGTACCTGCTCTCTTTCAGCTCCTGCTCCTCCTGCTGCTGGGTCAGCAGCTGGGGTCGGTCCAGCCTTTATTGAAGAAAATCAACACAAAATAACACTCAAGGATTGTGGTAATGTTTAGTACTGTATCAATGTTGAATATAACATAAGCAAAAACAGGAGTTTATATCAGAGCAAGGAAAAGTAAGAACCAACACTATTTTTATGAACCAGAGGAATTTTTTTTTGAGATTTTAATCCCACTAGTGGCTCGTTTTTATGGACAGTAGGCCGACAGGAAAGCGGGTATGAAAGAGGGGGAGAGACATGCGGGAAAGGACCACAGGCCAGAATCAAACCCAGGTAACCCTCATCGAGGACTAAGGCCTTCATACATGGGTCGTGTGCGCTAACCACTGTGCCACCAAAGCAAACCCAACCAGATTAACTTTAAATTATAGATTCCAGAAGCTGTCAGGATGGGTACCTGTGGATCTATGAGATTCTTGATGAAATCCAGATCTTCTTGTAGAATATTTCTAAGCTCTTCTCTTTCTTCAGAATCTCCTCTATCCTTGCCCATCATTTCCCTCCGCACATAATTCATATATTTTAGTAAGCCATCATTGTTTTCCATCAGATGGTCAAACATCTGTTTAGATAGGTCCTCATGCTGCAAGACACACAGTTATTTATTGTGAGAACAGGCCAGCACATTTTGAAAATAACCTATAAAGTAACAATTTACCTGAATAAAGCAGAAATAGCTTACTTTGTATTAGACACAAAAGGACACTGTTTATCTTTAAATGTGGGCAGACATCAGGTGTGATCATTCTTTACTTGGGAGCTTTGATCAGTTTTTATTCTAACTTTAACCAAAAGATAAGAACATCTGCTATGCAAAGAACGTCCACTTAGTACTTGAAAGATTTATTTAAAAACATTTGTAATTAACTTTTAGTAATTATGAAGCTATAAGCAGAATAAAAATTGATTTCAATTTACTCACCGTGATTCTTTTTAGGGAGTCTCAAATCTGAGTTCGCTTTTAATGTAATGAGAGGATGTGTACATTACATGATATTTAATCAAATAAGCTAAATTCCACATATGTTACTCACTCTTAATTCAACAGTAAATTGTCCTGCAATTGTGTCTCAGAAACTTTTGAACTTTGGAAATAGGAATGTGTTGTCATCTTATATGTGTAAAATGTGCTTGTAGAACAACAATAACAAAGGCATTCTAAAATGTTTATCAACGCAAACAAGAAAAAGAGGCATGTTAGGACAAAAAACAAAAACAGGTTGTATTAGGCTTAAAACTGTGAAGTAATAGAGTTTATATTTCCTACACATTCTCTTTTTATTTTACTATCTGCCTGTTTATTTAAACAAACATTTATTGACAACTTTTTTGCATTTCTCCCTGAGACAGGTGCATTTGTCCCCAAGAGCAAGAGTATAGGAGAGAAAAAACAACCAAACTTGATTTCGACATTTCTACCTGACATGCTTTTATTCTGAAAGCGCAATGCAACTCTGTGTCACTGGCCCCGCCCCCTTCCTCACCTGCTACTACGTTTTTTTATATCTAATGTAAGAGAAAATACATTTTACTTTCTGAAATGAAAATGTAATTTTGTCACGATTTTCTGATTTGTTTTGATGTACTTTTGTACAAGCATATCTGATTTTTCTTGAACTGTTAAAGTTACAGCAGGGTCTAAATTGAAAATATTATATTAATCCAATAGTTTAAAGCAGTGGAATAAGGAAACTCATATTTCAAAATTATACCTTGTCACCAAAATAATAACTTCCATATTTAAGTAATAAACAAAGGAATTCACTGGCAACTGAATGCAGTTCAGACAAAAAATTTGTTAATTTGCCGTGCTTAAATCAGTCTGATAAAATGGAGTGAGGTTGCAGTTTGGTATAAGATATGATAATCTTTTACCGTAATCGTAATGTCTTGTCTTGCTTTGGGTATAAACATCAGATCAAACATGTGGGAAAACGGTCCATGTCCTGAAAAGAAAAGCAATCAGAGTTCAGGGGTTTGAACTATGATTTAAATATCTTAAACAGTTCTTCATTTTGAAAACAAACATTCTAAACTTCTTTTTGATCCTAACAGAAATGGGTTTAAAGGTCAGTTTTAATCCTAAAAAAAACAAGTTGAAACACATTTCTTTTCACAGACACTGATACAATTTTGAATATGTAAAAAAGAAGTTAACACATATATATATTGATATTTTTTTAAAGCTTGTAACACTTATGGTTGTTATCACAAGTGTTTATGTTCTTTTTATGTTAGTAGATGTTCGGTCTAAAACAGAAATTGAACAGGTGATAGACTGCATGCGTCAAATCCTATGTTACAATGTTACAATAATAACATAAATGAAATATAATTTTCCCACAATGAAAAAATGTACCTTCTACATTAAACTATTTTTTTGTTAATTTACCATTCTTGGGTATTAGTTTTCCTCAGGAAACAAATATGCTTCATTAACTTATTTGAGATGATTGACTAATGCTTAGCTAAGGCAGTGAAATACAATAGTTTTTTTCAAAATTCAAACTGCTGCTGTTTTTTTGAATATTAAATGTGAGTCTGACTCAGGAAGTCCCTCACCAAGGTCATGGCAAAGTGCAGCAATTTGCACACAAAGGACGTCCCAGTCAGTAATCCCAAGATCCTGCTGCTTCTCTCTGATAGACTTTAAAATTTCTCCAGCCAGGTAAGCCACCCTGTAACAGAAAAAAAAAAAATAAAATAGATTAACCCTAACAAGATAAATGAAGGAAACTCACATAAGCCTTTTAAGAAAACTATTGTTAATCAACCACAGCAACTAAACACTTCATTTACCCAATGCTGTGTTCAAAGCGGCTGTGGGTTGCTCCAGGGTAAACATAAGATACAGCTCCAAGCTGCTTGATGTTTCGAAGTCGTTGAAACTGAGGCGTGTCAATGATCTTGACAAGGAGTGGATGCAGCTCTATAGTCCCATGGATGGGATCTTTAAAAATCTGACATGAACATAAGGAAACATCTTTGACATCATTATCATACAGAAAGGATGAAAATAATAAATATTTGCATAAAAAGGAAGCAGAAAAGAAACTCAAATGCTTATTTTATTGAAAAATCTCATCTTGTTTTATATCTGTTTTAAGTTCTCTAATGAAAACGTATGATCCTCAGAGAAAACAGAATAGGATAGAGATAGCTCACATAAAATTACTTACAGTAACAACTAAAAAGGAAAACACGAGTTAAAAAATATATTAAGTAATATGACTTAATCTGAAAAGTGAACATTAATTAACAATAAAACAGCCTTTGCCATGAATACAAAGCCCAAATAAAGTGATCTTTAGTGGACCTAATCCTTGTCTGAGTCTCTGTGTGTTTAAAACAAATTTTTTCTGCCACTTTGAAGTCTTAAGGAACTGAATGTTACATTTCTGTTTCTAAATGCTCCTTTTATTTTATCTCTATAGCTGTAAAGTGAGAACAGCTCTACCTTCCTTTGCTCTGCCATTGTTTCCAAAAGCCTTCAGAGGTTTTTCAGGATTTGCAGATGGTCAAAAAAATTCTTGAAATGAAGGATCAGATTTCTGATGTGAAGATGCTGTAAATGAGGGAAATAAAAAAGTGAGGATTGTTAATGTGAGAAACAGATATGAAAAACACTTGTCAATTTATGTTATTTAAATATCCAAAGACAATATATGAATAAAATAGCAATAATTGCTGATCCTTTTTTTTTCTCTACCTTAATGTAACAGCTTAAAAGCAAACTCAACGATCTGCTCAGATCTTCCAGGTGAAGATGATTGACCAGCTTCCATCAGTGTGGTAATTTATACTGGAAACCTAACCACCTCCAGGGGACGGATTAAAGATGATGTACGACATGTATGCACCTCCTCCAGGTTCATTGTAGTTTAAAATGAATAACCATCTCATTGCCTTTGTTCACTGTAACCATTAGAGGGAGTGGTGATTAGGGCATAGAGCTTGGAATTCCTGAGGTTCTGCATTCGAGCCCCAATCCTACAGACTGCCACTCTGGGTCTGGCTCTGAGCAAGAAGTCTCAGTCTGGGGTTGAGTCCCTTAACCCCACACTGCTACGATGGCGCCCCACAATGGCAGCACGCTGTTCGCTTTATCAATTATTATTTTACCATTGTAATGGTAGCTGTTTTTAAAGTGAATGAATTAGTTATTTTTTATATATATATATATATATATATATATATATATATATATATATATATATATATATATATATATATATATATATATATATATATAATTAATAGAAATACATTTTTAGAATTATTTACAAAAACCTAATTATGGTATCTCGTTGTTCTCATTTCTAACTCGTTTAACAACATAACACTTTTTTCAGTTTTCAAAAAATGTAGGTGAGTGGCAGCATTGTCCTTGATCATGTGCAACAGAAGAAACACATACCAAGTATGAAAATATGGGATCACACCCTTGACAGTTGCAGGCATCTAAAACTAGTTTCATCTCAATGACTCGCTGACAACAGATTAAACCAGTGTCCGCTGGATACTTATATGCCAGCTGCAGGTTTAGTGACCAATTGTTCTGTCATCGGTGG